AGCCTTCCCTTGAGAAAGCATATGGTCATTCCTGAATATTTAGTAGGCAACATTAAGGATATAGAAATCCCTCTGTACTTTAAAGCAGCATTACAGGCACAGCACGACAGCTCTGAAATGAAGAGAACTACCTCTCTTCACTCCGAGCCTTATGCAAACAGACAGGTATCACGCTGCCAGGCAGTTTCTTGTTTGAGAAAATAAATTTGAGTGGCATTGAAAGATTTAGTGCCAATTGCAAAAACACCAGGTACAGACGAGTGCTTCAGACATGACGCTACCTGAACACCTGAGGATGGAGGTGGTCCAGACCACAGCAGTGCTAGAAAACTACAGGATCCGACAGAACTTCACAGAGAGATTTTTTACAATTGCTCGTACCACGTTCAAAGTATCGGCTTATTTTTGGTGTTTGTGTTGTGACTGCAGATAGGGGGGGTGGGAAGAAGGTACCCAACTACTGAGAAGGGTATTAAAATGAGGAGGGAGGCACCTTATGCTTCAGATCAACATCAGTTGTGGTGTGCTTTTGAGAATTAAATGTTTTATACAATGGATATATAGAAAACTTTTTAAAGCTTACCCTAAAGAAAACCATCCTTGTTCCATCTGTCAAAGAACAGCAGGAAAAAAGTCATTACTATATTCAGACCCTTCCAATGCAGATGCACATGCAGGCACAAGGAACACATCCTACCAAACCGAGCACTTTGGGTCAGGAAATGCTCCATCACATCTGATACTTGGTACAAAAATGGAGAACAAACTAATTCGTATGTTCAGTGACAATCCCAAACTGGAGAGATGAATGTTTTCTGCATCTTCCCTGAAGCTTAGGTAGGCAAAGACTGTCATGGGGAAAGAACCAAGCACCTTGCTTAGAATTCTAATTTATTATTAAATTACATATCAAAGCTTTTTTTAATACATACAGAGAATGCACAATAGGTGAGAACAAAAATAATTACAGTTACAATAAAATAAGTTTCAAGAAGCTGTATGAAAAGCAAAAAAATCAGAAAGTGCAATCAGAAAATTGTTTACAAGGGTCTGGACTGGGATATCTTGTGAGAAAGAGTTTTGTTTTTTGTCTTGAGTGTTTATTTAAACTGTTTTCCTCACTCAGTAGTAGACAGACCAACAACCGCTTATGTATTTGGAACTGAAAACCTCACACTGGTTTCAAATATCCAGTCGACAGGAGAGATACAGGGCACCAAGAGGACTTGCAGATGTCACCTAGGATATGGCTCAGTTTTGTCTCAGTGTATCTTTCACTGAGGTCTCCTGTCCTGCACATTGCTCAACAGAACCACTGCAAGATTTCATAATCCCATACTGTTATAAGGAGTTTCAGAATTATTTCCTCCTTCAGAACTGATACAGCTGTTACCTCTCCTTCCTGTTTCAAATGAAAGCTTCGGGGGGAAAAAAAAACAAACAAGTAAAAATAGGAAAAGGATATGCATCAAGTGATCTTGGGAAACTAGCTGCTAGGTTTAGAGAGCTAAAACAGTCCTGACTAAATGAGTGACACAATCAGAAGTGGTGGACCTGACTTTGCTCCCTGCGTAGCAGTTTTGGGGGAGCTTCAGGGAGGACAAACCATCAAGAAGTTATCTGAAACTTTCACGTCACCTGAAAATCTACTTTTGCTCTTTTGTTTTCAACATCCAGCAAAGAACTGACTCCTCCTTCTCACAGTAATCTTAAGACTGTCCAAAAGAAAGGATTTCTAAAACCACAAATGAAAAATTCTAGTTGATTATTCAGTGTAATGAATCCAGCAG